CTCGTTGGCCCCTTCAAGGATACACCACACACCACACACTCCCCATATCCCCCCTACAAAGCCCCCTGCTGCTCGTCCCATCGAGACCGACAAAGCAATCTCCTCAGTGTGCACTGATTTGAGAGCCAGTCAACAGTCAACTGCCACGTTCTGCCTCAGCCGCTGCAGTCAGCCTCACTCATCTAGAACCACTGCAACGTACTGCCACAACCAGTTCTGGACGAGTGAGTCCATCTCCTCGGCGCGCGCCGATTTGACAGCGGAGACGAGGCCGACCGGCACTTTCAGGCGGGGCCGCTGCTGTCAGGCAACAAGAGGTCGGCCTTCTAAATGAGCGAGTCAACCTCCTCAGTGCGTGCCGACTTGAGAGCGGACACAAGCCCAATCGGCACGTTCTGGCGCGGCCGCTGCGTGTACGGGTCGACGGGCGGCAGCGCGCAGCACTGCGCATACTCCTCGCCGTTGAAAGCAAAGCAGTAGGGATGCGCCGTGCCGATCTGCAGGGGGGGGGAGGGAGGATGGGAGAGAACAGGACGGTTGGACAGTTGAGACATAAGAGAGAGGGAGGGGGAGGACGGTTCTTGCCATCATAGGCAAAGCGTTGAGAGGAAAGGGAGGAGAGGAGAGAGGATGGCAGGGGAGTGATGGAGGAGAGTCGTGCTCACGTGCAGTCGCAGCATCTCGAGCTCAGAGAGGTCGCAGAGGTACGAGATGATGCAGCGCAGCACGTTGCCGTGCGCCACCACCAGCACGTTTTTGCCCTCTGCCAGCCGTGGCTCCACCGTCGACAGGAAGAAGGCCAACGTGCGCTCAGAGGTGTCCTGCAATAACGGGTACAGCAGGGGGGAGGAATAAGAGAGGAGGGCAGCAGAAGCGCGTTGCCATGCGCCACCACCAGCACAGTCTTGCCCTCTGCCAGCCGCGGCTCCACTTCAGACGAAACAATGCCCGGGTGCGCTCAGAAGTGTCATGAGGAATGCAATAACGAGTACAGGAGGCGGGATGCGTGTGAGGGGGGGTAGCTGGAGCATGTTGCAAGCGCCACCACCAGGAGGGTGTCTTGCCCTCAGCTAGCAGTGGCTCCACTGTTGGTAGGAAGAAGGCTAGAGTGCGCTCCTGATGTGCCATGGGGAATGCAATAACGGGTACATGAGAAGGAATCAATGTCATTCTGAAATTCCCTATGCACATGTGACAAATGGTCAAGGGAGGGAGCATGATACCAATGGTGGCCTTAAAACCCGCGAACCAAATGTCCCAAAATTGCCTCGAGCTTTCTACCTTTGGTTGAGAGTTCCCTAGGAGAACTACTCGACAACCAATCCCGTCCTCCTATCCAACCGACCCTCCTATCCAACCTAGTAGGAGAACTACTTGGCACGCGGGTCACTACTTGAACTACAGACACTCAATTCTACTCTAGGATCAGCACCATGGGGTCACTCCATATCGAGTACAGCACGAGAATAGAGGCTCACCAGCAGGCTCTCCCCCTTGGGCGGGCGCGTGTCGTGGCTCCTCCGCCACATCGCCACCTGCTCGTGCCCAAACTCCTTCGCCGCTGCCTCCTTATTCAAACCCTGGAGATAGAAATTATATTAAAAAACAAAAAAAGAGGAGATGTGGAGGGGTATGGTTAGGGAGAGACGAGGGGAAAGGGAAAAGACGGAGAAAAAAAAAGTGAGCCTGAAAATTTAATACCACACGCCTGCTCTTTTAGAACATCGGAAATCACCTGCAGATCGCCGTAGCAGCGCTCGTTGAGCCTGGGGTCCGCGTACACGGGGATCATGCGGCACGCGGCTTGCTTCAGCGCCTGCGCCGCGGCCTCCCGCAGCCTGAGGCGGTTCTCGTCGCCCGTCTTGCCGCGCCCGTAGTAGCCGCCGCGCACGATCACAGGCACCGCCTTGTGCACGCTCTGCGAAAACAACGGGCGAAAACGGAAAAATTCACGAAAAAAAACGAAAACAGCTCGACATGCGTAAAATCGCTTCCTTCGCCTGCGAAGTTCGTACGCCCTTTCCCCTCCCCACCCCCCCCCCACCAAAAAAAAAAGAGGCTGCTTAATTGCCACTAACGCCACATGTCTCTCGCCTGCTTAATTGCCACTAACTTGGGATTATCTTGGCAGTCGCGCAAGCAGCGCAGTCTGTTTGCACCGCACGAGCCGGCTCATGACACCCTCCAACACGCGACTCAGGACGATCAGCCGGGTCACGGCGCCATGAGACGCTCACCTGCGTCATCGCGAGCAGCGCAGTCTGCTTCGACCGCACGAGGCGGCTCGTGAAGATCATGTCGAAGTCGATCTCCGCCACGGACCGCCCGCCCGCCATGGCCTCCATCACGCCGCGCTCCGTCAGCGGAATGTCCACGTCACTGTGACGTGGCGGGTTTCAGAGAGAGTGGGGGATGGGCAGGGGACGAAGTTAGAAAGGGGACGACGTTTGAAAGTGGACAAATCCGTCGAAGTATCCGACACCATCTGCGAGCAGGCGGGGACATTCAAGACAGCTGACGGTTACAGACAGACGGGACGATCGGGCGCTATCAACTCAAAGGACACGGTCACAGGCAGCGCGCCACTCACCCGGTAAAGAGCTTCAAATCGTTCCACATGCTCTCGCCGTGTCGCATGAGCACGAGCGTGGGGTGGTCGTGCACCTTGGCGCACGTGATCTGCGGCTCCTGGTCCTCGCCGCACACCTTCACCACCATGCTCACATGGCGCGCCTTCTCCCGCGTCTCACGCGCCTCGCGCTTCTCCTCGCGCACCGCCGCACCGTTCGCCTTCTCGAGCCGCTCCCACGCGTCGCCGTCCGGCGGCCGCGCGGTCCGCTCCTCGCTCGGCGTTGCGGCGGGCCGCTCCGGCGGGGCGAGCCGCGCCGAGACCTTGACGCAGCGACGACAGGCGGACGACACGGAGGACCAGCTCGGGGCGTCAAACGCGGACCCAGACCCCAGCGACGGGAAGCTTCGTTTCGCGAGGAACTGTGACTCGATGCGACAGACGGAGTGGCATGACGGCGACACGGTGGCGCAAGGTGCGCAGGCGCGAGCGGTGCTAGGCCTGCTGGTCGATAGCTTCGCGGTCGTGCTAGCACGGCCGGCGATGCCGGTTCTCGCGACCGCGTCTCGCGAAGTAAAACGAAATATGGCAGTCCTGGCCATGGGATCTGACTAGTACAAAGAGAGGGGTCGAACGGCTCAAAAACGAAAGGAAGGCGGCCTTGAAATTCCGGTCGCTAGCGACTTCCCTGTGCCAAGCAGTAGCTCGAATAAATCGCGTCAGAGTACTTGGTACTCAGCGAAGAAGTAGAGGAAGTGGACCGCGCTCAAGGCTGCTCTGGAAGCTAGGAGCACTTTTCAGCGGTAGTGGTGGGTGGGAGGACCAGGTGAGCTGAACCAGTTATGAATGCGGGAGAAAGAGAGGATTCCAACAGGTTTTTGGTTTGGTTGGGTGCGGAACTGGAGGCCTGCTTGGCGGAAGGAATGCAGGCATGATGAATTGCAGTGCGAGGGACGGAAGAAATGGAGGAAACGGACAGAAAGGCTGTTGTGGGCCTGCTCCTACGTGACACAAGTTCAAGCTACTTCGTGTCAACATCTAAAACCACTGGCAAAATTGACGGGCAAATCTGAAATGACACGAATTTTCCTGACGTCATGCGCGTAAAAACATGCCCTGAATGACGAAAGGCCGGAACGGAATGCGAACCGGGGGAGAGGGGAGAGAGGAGTTGGGGGGGGGGGGGGGGAGAGAGAGGAAGATAGTCCGACAGGTCAGGTTACCCACATGGGCTGGAATGCACAGCCAGGTGAAAGATGGAGTGGGCGGACGCGGGGCGCAACGCAACTGGAGGGAACGAGCGAGCGTGCGACTGATTGTGATTGTGGTCCCGAGTCGCAGAACGGTCTGCGACCAGCAAAGGGGCGTCTCTCTGCTGCTGGCTGGAAGGGGAAGTCTTATCCGTCGTCCTGATTGACGGCTTGCAGTTTGGATGATGTCTCGAAGAGACCGAATGGATGTGGTTGATGGTGCGACGAGAACGACTCGGACCCAGCGGGAGATCTTCCAAATGGCTCGAAATTATGTGATATCATTACTCGTTGTGAGCTTCTGCCCGCGCCTTCGAAACGTGGCAGACTCTGACGTCACGACGTAGCTTCGAAATGCTGTGTACGACACTGCATTTCTGGGTCGCAGAAGCAGCCTTGAATCCGGAAAATCTGAAAAACACACCAACCACCATCGCCATCCCCCAAACAGCCGCGCAGTCCTCGAGTCGTCAGAAGGACCGTTACAGTCAGCATCTCCCCTTCTTGACGGTTGTCGCACGTTCGCGCTTCGACGTGATGTAGGTACCCCTACGATGCGGGAGACCTCACATCTCTAATCGCATCTGACGATGGTAAGAGATACACGTCAACGAAGGATGACCACGTGTTGTACCATCGAGGATCTTCCTGCCCCCCAGCCGCAGGAATAGCCCATCCGATCGGGTCACTGCGCCAATAACAATTCACGAAGAGACGACCTTTGCAATTGCGAGGAGGCTTCATAAAAATCTTCAACCAGAGGGCCCGACTGCCCTTACCTCGCGGGAGAACAAAATGCACCATACTAAACCGTGGAAAACCGTGTAAACCACAGGCGTGTCCATACACGGATTCCAGTGCACCATAAAAGGATGTACAGCACACCGCATAATGAGATGTTGAAAGGGCCATATATGCAGTATAACTAAACCACTGACCATGCTAATGTTTCAATGGAGAGGATGTGCTACAATGCTCTTGGGTTGATAGTGTGTGATTGATTTCTGGGCAAATATGAAAATTAGGATTCAAGACACGTACAAACAAAGGTTTGCCCTTCTAAAGAATCACATGTTCATCCGGATGTTTACAGCTCATAACTCGCGTTTGCTCACGGCTGAACTGTGCATGTGAAGAAGTCTCCACAGCGCAGGTGAAAGGTGTCAATGGTGCTGATTTCCCACCAGGCTTCTCTCATCTCCTGCATTATCTAGTTTGCAGTATCTTGTCGGAGCAATGTCACTCCCCGACCGATAGCCATTATGATTCATCGACCTGAGTCGCGATTCTCACACTGCTGATTTCACAGGCGCCATTCTTGAATTCACAGGATGCTAGAGCACCGGCTTTGAGGCGCGTCGAAAGCAGCAGATCCGACTCAGGTGGGTCAACGTTCGACTCCGACCCAGGGAAATCCGTGATAGCATCGTACCACAGCATCACCGGCAGCATCGTCCCGTTGCCCATGCGCGTGTGGCACGATGCTGTACTCGTACGATGCTGTACTCGTACGATGCTGTACTCGTACGATGCTGTACTCGCCCATCCGCTGATTTAGGCCCATTGCCGAATCCGTTGCTCTGCTCGCGGCGCTGACGCAACAAAGGTATTGCTTTCCGCACGAAGTGAGGCTTTCACTGCTTGGTGGGAAAGGGGGGGGTAAGGAGCGGCTTCGAGGCGCGCCGAATCCGATCCACGTGGTGGTCGCCGCTCGACGGAGCGGTAGGAGTGCTAGGTGGTTGAAGCGCGAAGAAGGGCTGCTTTTGAGTCGACTCAAATGTAGCGACAGGAAGCTAGGAGAGTGAAGCGCGAAGATGGAAGGGTGCACAGAATTTAGGTAAAGCGGAGCGTAGCGGGTAGGCAAGGGAGGAAACCCGGGGAAGGAGGGGGCTCTGGTACACGTTATGATATATAGACGGGCTCTGGTACACGTTATGATATATAGACGGGCTCTGGTACACGTTATGATATATAGACGGGCTCTGGTACACGTTATGATATGATGCGTTCTATTGTCGTGGTGCGCGCTGAAACCTTTAGATTGCGTGTGATATCGTCTAGTAGGCGTAATGCACCGCGCTTTATGCAGTACTGAGGTACTAGGCACTAGGCGGCCTAAGAAGCTCTTGATCTAGTAGAGATTGCGCTGCCACCGCTCAGAGGCGGGAGATATAAGGCTTATATCCCCCGTCCCCCTCTTCCCCCTCCCCTCCCCTCCTCCCCCCACCCCTCCTCCTCCCTTCCTCCCCCCTCCCCCTCCCCCCCCGCCTTTTTGCCCCCCAGCATGTCCCCCCTTTCCCCCAGGCGCTGGCGCGCGGGGGAGAGGGTGGAAGTTGCTCCTCGGGGGGAGGGTTTCCAGGGCGCTTGGTTCACTGCCGTGCTGCTGGCGGTAGACAGAGGCAGGCGGATGGGTTCAGTGCGGTACGAGGAGATGATGGAGGAGGACGGGCTGACCAGGCTGACCGAACACGTCAGCTTGGATCAGATCCGCCCCGTGCCACCTGTCATTGATGGGGATGACCCTGCCATGTGGGATGAGGTAGGGAGGAGAAGAGTCTTTTCAGGCGTGGGGTGGTTCAGTCTGTTCAGTATTGCTGGTTGGTTGACGAGCCTGATTGCCAAGGATCTTTGACAGAGCACCCATCCTTTTCCGCTCTTTCTGCTCTTTCCTCCCCCCTCCTCCCTTTCCTCCACCCTCCTCCCTTTCCTCCCCCCTCCTCCCTTTCCTCCCCCCTCCTCCCTTTCCTCCCCCCTCCTCCCTTTCCTCCACCCTCCTCCCTTTCCTCCCCCCTCCTCCCTTTCCTCACTTTTCCTCCCCCCCTCTACTCTCTCCCAGGGCCATCCCGTGGAGGCGTGGGACAATGATGGCTGGTGGGTAGGCACAATCGTTGGCCGCGTCTTCAGGCGCCGAACCATGCCCCATCCCGAACCTCCCGGTGCTGTGCCTGGCGCTAGGCTCGGCACCGAGGCTGACGTGCTGGCGTTCAGGGTGTATTTCCAGGGATCAACGGAGCAGAAGGTGTTTCTGGCCCGTGACCTGCGCACGAGAATGGACTGGCTTCATGGCAAGTGGATCTCGCTGGGGCCCGTGGCTGCTGACGCTGACGCTGCTGCTGACATGTCTCCTTCGTCTGCTGACGCTGCTGCTGCTGCTGCTGCTGCTGCTGCCGGTGATGCTGCTGCTGCTGCTGCTGCTCCTGCCGTTACTGCCGCTGTAACTTCTGCTGCTATCACTCATGTAGCTATGGGTATTGCTAATGTATCAGCTTGTGCTGATGCTGTAACGGATGCTGTAACGGATCCTGAAGCTGATGCTGTAACCATGCAAGACATGGCAGCCGGAGGAGGAGCAGCGGGAGCAGCAGCAGAGGAAGGGGGCAAGGCAGCATTACTAGCTGATGGAAGAGGGGCTTCTTTGGCTTCAGGGCCCGAGACTCAGGCGGGGGAGACTCAGGCGGGGGAGACTCAGGCGGGGGAGGAGTCTGTGATGGAGGGGAGAGCAGGAGCCGAGGAAAGGGATGACGTGGCTGCAGCAGCAGCAGCAGCAGCAGCAGCAGCAGCAGGGGAAAGAGAAAGAGGAGCACTACCAGCAGCAGAACGATTAGCTGCAGCAGCAGTAGCAGCAGCAGACGAAGCAGGTCATTCGCCATCAGCAGGATCACCAGCAGCGGAACATGAAGCAGCAGCGCCAGGAGTGAAGGAGTGCGTTGATGAGTGTGGATTGGAGGGCGGGGTGAACGAGGGTGGTATGGGGCAGGGTGGGTTGAAGGAGCAGGCTGCTGGTCACCAGGAGATAGATTCAGGGGAGCCGTTTTCTTGTGGGCCGGTGACAGTAGGACAGTGTGACATTAGTGAAGGGCGGGCGGCGCCTGTGAGTGTGGGTGGTGCTAGTGATCCTAAAGAATGTCAGAGAGGAGGTGACGGAGGGAATGGCGAGGAGTGGGGTGGAGAGGGAGAGTGTGAAGAGAAAATGAGGGGTGGAGAGGGGAAGAGTGAAGAGAAAGAGAGGGGTGGAGAGGGGAAGAGTGAAGAGAAAGAGAGGGGTGGAGAGGGAAAGAGTGAAGAGAAAGAGAGGGGTGGAGAGGGAAAGAGTGAGGAGAAAGAGAGGGTTGGAGAGGGGAAGAGAGAAGAGAAAGAGAGATGGAGAGAGGGGAAGAGTGAAGTGAAAGATAGGGGTGGAGAGGGGGAGTATGAAGAGAAAGCGAGGGGAGGAGAGGAAGGGGCCACAGGCCTAGCCACCGTCCTTGGCAGCAAGGCACGCATATCTGTGCACGTGCTTGGTGCAGCGAGAGGGGATGAAGGGGAGGAAAGGGAACCAGGCTTCGATGCGAGGTCGCCACCAGATGGGAGTGGTGGTGGGCGTGAGTGCAGGGCAGCTGGGAATGTGCCACAGGCAGTAGGAGGCGCTCCAACAGCAGCAGGCAGACCTGTGCACGTGCTTGGTGCAGTGAGAGTCGAGCGGGTGGTGCGGGATGGCGGTAAAGGTGCGAGGTCACCACCACTCGAGAGCAGCGGTGAGGGTGAGGGTAGAGGCAGGGCAGCAGAATATGCGATACACGTGGCAGCACCTGAGGTTGAGGGATTAGCAGCTTTGGAGAAGCGTAGAAGCACCACGTGTCAGCCCCTCAGTGATTCCTGTCCGGATAAACCCTGTCAGGTTAAATCCTGTCCAGATAAACCCTGTCAGGATAAACCCTGTCCAGATAAACCCTGTCAGGATGACCCCTGGGATCTGAGCGCTGCTACTGGTTGTTCCAATGCTGGTGCTGGAGAGAGGGAGGCTCCACTGATCGTCTACAAGCGAAGGAGGACAGCGCAGGGGTGGGTGGGGCCATGCCTAGACATGCAGAGACAAAAGATTAAATTCTACTCTCAAATTCTAAGTCAGACAATTAAGGGGGGAGGAGTCCCGTTGGTGGGTGTTTCTCTTGCAGAAGCAGCAGGTGGAGGAGGGGGTGAGCCGGCAGGAAGACACTCGGTGGCGCCTCAGGGCGGGGGCAAGCAGGCTGCACTGCTGCAGGAAACGCAGGGGGCAGGAGGGGGGAGGCAGGCAGGTGGGGGAGATAAGAGTGCAGCAGGTGGGACTGGGGGAGGGAGAGGGAGGCTTTCAAGGCAGTGCAAGGCGTCTAGGGTTTATGCCAAGATGTTGGGAAAGGGAGGAGGAGTAGAAGGGAGAGGCGGAGCAGAAGGGAGAGGAGGAGTAACAGAAGGGAGAGGAGGAGGTTTGAAGGCCACCTCGCATGCACCAAGCACCCTTCCTCCGTTCACCTCCAGCACAGGATTGAAAACGAAGGCAGCAGCAGCAGCTGCTTCTGCTTCTGCTACTGCTGCTGCTGCTGCCCCTGCCACACCCGCCGCATTTCCCACCACACCTGCTGCAACTCCTGCCGCACCCGATGGTGCGCCTGCCACCCCTGCAGCAATGCCTGCAGCGATGCCTGCAACGATGCCTGCAGCGATGCCTGCAGCAATGCCTGCAGCGATGCCTGCAGCGATGCCTGCAGCGATGCCTGCAACGCCCATGGTGGGTGGGGAGAGGCCACGGGCACCTCCAGTCGCAAAGGCGATCTCTGAGGCGCCTCATGTAAGGCGAGCAGGAGGGGGGAGTGTAGGTGACAGGAGAAGGGAGTTGATTGGGGTGGATGTTGGGGAGCAGGGAGTGGCGAGGGTGGAGGGAGTGGTGGAGGTGGATGAGTGGGGAGAGGTGGGGGGGGAGCAGGAGAGGGCAGGTGGGGGAGCGGTGGTGGAAATTGAGGATGATGGGGAGGAGGTGGATGTGGAGGAGTTGAGAGAGGTGCATGGTGTCAAGGAAGGCGGTGATAATGATGCTGGTGTGGAGGAGGATGAGGACGATGAAGAGGATGACGAAGATGATGATGAGGATGATGATGTGGTGGAGGTGGTGGGGGAGGAGGTATGTGTGAGCATAGTGCAGCATAGACCAGGAGAAGCGGCAGTACCAGCAGGAGAACCGGTGCACCGGCATGTGAATGTGACATCCCCCTCGGGTCTCACCACAGCAGCAGGACAGACCAACTTCTCCACACTGGCCCTTACAGCAGCGCATGCCAAAGCACATCCACATGCAAGAGCACATACAAATACAACAGCGTACACAGAAGCGTGCACATCTGCACCTGCAGGCATGGCAGCAGCTCCCCACACACCAGCAGCACCTTCAGTCCATCACTGTGCGCCTGTTACCTCGCCATTCCAGCCAACCCTAGGAGCTGCACGGCTGTGCTCCGAGCAGCACATCGGCGGGGTGAAGAGACAGCGGTTCTTTGGCACCTGGAGCCGCCAGGGGCCTCTTTTCCACAGCCGCGACACGCTGCAGACACACAATGGACCGGGGGCCACTACTGAGAACAAAGAGTACTGTGGGGTGTCGACTCGATCACTCTATGGAGGGGGGGATATGAGGCATGTAGCTGGTGGGGTAGAGAGAGAGGTGGTGCTTGGGGGAGGGGATACGGGGGTCCAGGCAGTGGCAGAGGCGGCATACGGGGGGGTGCTGCATGCGCTGTGGGTGCAGGGAGGGGGAGAGGGCATCACGTGGGATAAGGAAGTGCTGCTGACAGACCTCCGCCGGGCTTTAAGTATTTCCAACGACCAGCACTCTCGCCTGCTTGCTGCTCTGCTCTCACAGGATGCGACAGCTGATGCCAGCTGGTAATTTGATGTCAAAATTGATACTTCAGTTTGTTTCATGCAGCATATGATTGTGAAGGCGTCTCGCATAGGCAGCGGCAGTGTGGTACTAGCATGAGAGCTACTACTTGTACCAGGCTTCCCACCAGCATGCGGATCTAGCGTAACTGTGACTTCTCCACAATGGAAATTCGACTCCATGCATCTTACAGCCTGCATGGCGGGGGACTTCAGGCATCCTTCGGTAGAGATGAATAAAGATTCAGTGTACATGAAACTAGTGATATTCGCTATTACCTACTGTACTGATGGTAGTTTGTCCACGTAGCTGCTGGAATGGCTCTCTCATTCTGACGGACTAAGATTGGGTCGCTGCCCAATCGTTGGCCGATGAGCGACTTTCCGCTCACCACGAACCGTTGCCCTTACACAGACCGCCACGTGGGGCCGCCTTTGCGTCGGATTCGTCGGAAACTCATCACTGGCCTGGCAGTGAGTCGGTGACGCGTCAACGGACTCTTCTCCATCAGTGCGATCTGATCGAGAGAGCTGCTTGGGTGCGTGGGTGGTGTGTCAGAGCGAACAGACCCACCAAGGGAGCCTTGAAAACTCCGCACCTCTCCGCCTGGGTCACTTCCCCCTTCCCCTGTCGGCTGTCGGTGCTCCGCAACCGCAACCCCCAGTATTCTAGTTTCAGTTCAGGCGTGTTCCGTGAGGGTTAGGTCCGCCATGAGTTCGCACGCAGTTCATACGATTGGTGAGAAAATACGGGCGAAGAACTTTTGGTTGGTAACCATGTTTTGTAACGTCTCAAAATAAAAAATCAGGAGGGATTTGACGCTTTGCGATTGTTGTAGATTTTCAAGAAGATCCCGAGAGCCTCTAACTGATCCCTTGGGTTCCTTGATATCATCCCCTTGCCTTTCTTCCCTCTCTTTTCCCAGATTCAAAATATCAGTCCCTCATCACTGATTACCTGACAAGTCTTGCTGGGCTTTTCAATCCAGGGTGTGACCACTCATTTTCTGGTGCGTAGTAGATTCTTCTTGCTCTGCTTGTTATCAGAATCATTTTCCTTTAGACAATAGTCGCCGTCAGCCTTGCTGACTTAGCAATCGTCGGACACGACGGACCGTAGGGTATCCGTCCTACTCCGTCAAAACTGACGTTTCCCCGTCAAGATTTCCGTCAACCTAATGCACCCTGTTTCCTCCAGGAAGGATCCGCGTCCGCATTTGTTTCTTGCCGTGGAGCCTTCACGCACATGACGATAGGATGAGCATCTGATGCAGCTGCTTCAATCCTCTCCTCGGGCCCTCTCTGCGGGCGATCAGTCATGGTCCGTCGCTTTCCTCGCTCATCGTAGATTTCTCCACTATGCGCTTGCTTTCTCCGTATAGTCGACGTGCCTCGGGTTCGAATCGAGGTCCGCTAGTATTTGACAGCGAAGCCGCCGCGATAAATCTGCAACGAGGGTTTTCTCGATGTTTCAGTTGGATAAGCTGTTGTATTCCTCCGTGCTCCATGAATTTTCTGAAGGATGCGGTGATGCGCTGTGCGTCGATCAGAGGATCTGAATCCTGCATGTCAAGATTTAACTTGCTACATCTCAAGTTATGCCTGTCCATATGCAATTTGTGCTTGTCTGTTAGTATCAGACTGCGTATGTTGCGATCACGTGTGTGCTCCTGTGTCATCTCGATCATGTCGTTTTCTGACCATCTCTCAATCTCTTTCTGCTCAATCGGATGTTCAATCCTAATCTTCCAGTGCTGCGACCAATCGTCCCTAAGGAGATTCATCATCACGACCAATGAGCACCATGACTGCTCGTCATCAGGAACGATTGTCCTCACGTTCAATCTTCCTCCTGACACGATCTTTCCCGCCGCTCCTCTAACATTTAATCTTCCTGCCTTTCTCAAACCCCCCCCCCCCAACCCCCCCCCACCCACCCAGGCGTCTATGAGTGGCGTAGCACCGCTGGCAGCAGCATCAGCACCAGCATCAGCATCAGCCTCAGTAACAGCATCAGCATCAGCCTCAGTAACAGCATCAGCATCAGCATCAGCGTCAGCAACCTCAACATCCTCCCTCGCCGTCCGCCCGAAACCTCCGCATTGCTCTCTCTCCACCACCGCATCCCGCTCTTTCCCCACCTCATCCGCCACCGCTGCCACGTCAGCAACGGCAGCCAAATCGAGCCGTCTGCTGTATACGCTCCGCCCGTCCTCTCCCCCTAGACAGCGTTCCCCCTCGCGACTCCCCACGGTTGCTGTTCTCTACAGCACAGGGCATGCCCTGGACGGCTCCCCTCGTCTCCGATCCGCTACTGCTGCCTCTGGTGCCGGCCGTAGCCTGTTCCTGGGACAGAGGTGAGACGCGGCTTATGGGATTCGTTACAGACATCTTCTGCGGTTTCACCCTAGTGTAGATTCATGCACTTAGACGTTTGCTTTGGTCTATGGCTCCAATATACTTGCTGGCTGCTTTTTCCCGTGACACTGGCCGCTGATGCCAAGTCTGGTCCTTCCCGTGTGACTTTTTCCACCTTCCCGTGTGACTTTCTTTGTGCATGGGGCACATTCCTCTTTCCACGACATGGGCCTGCGTGCGCCACACATCCTCAGGAGCTTGATCCTGGGTCAGCCTGGGAAAAGGTCACCACCGGCGTTGGACTTTAGAAGGCTCCGCATTGCAAACGAGGTGAGAACTGCCTCACCAGATTCATCCAATGCTCTCGCTGAATCTATCACGCCTTGAGATATCCATATCCCTGAGACATTTATAAGCTCGAGGAAAGCAAGATAGATCGCGGCTTGAGACATTCACAAGCTCGAAGAAAGCAAGATAGCCCATCAGGCGGGTCCAGCAGAGGGCGTTGAGGCGGACAGCAATGGCACTACCCTAAGCCCGCTGCATCCCCCCTCCCCCTCTCTAATGGACATATCTCCCATATCTCCCTTTCAGATGGGCATGCCCCTTCCTCGAATGGACGTATTCCCCTTCAAAGGACCCCTCTTCTCTCCTCCCATCCCTGCCTCCCCTCCCCTCTCCTCCCACCAGGCGGGGCCAGCAGAGGGCACTTCTACAGACGGCAATGGCACTGCCCTGAGCCCCGCTGCGTCCCCCGAGGACACCATCCAGGCGCTCAAGGCGTCCCTCGCCGCTGCAGAGGAAGCAGCAGCCACCGCCCTGCAAGCCAAGGAACTCGCTCTAGAAGCAGTAACCGTGGCCGAGGCCAAGGTCGAATCCATGTCTGCTCAGATGGTCCTGACCACCGAAGAGGCGGTTTCCGAGGTGGAAGCAGCTAAGGAGAAGTTCAAAGAGGAGGTGGCGCGGCTGCAGAGGGAGAAGGAGGAGGTGGAGCAGCAGCTGGCCCAGGCGAAGCAGGAGGGGATCGACCTCGCGATGAAGGTGGAGCAGATGGCGGCCCTGGCGGTGCAGGAGCAGACCCAGGCAGTGGCGGAGGATGCGCGGCTTAAGATTGCTGCTGCTAAGGCTGAGGCGGCGGACCTGGCGGCGCAGATGGAGGAGCGGATCAGGCTTGCGGCGGACGAGGCTGCTGCTGCTGGTAAGGCGCTGGTTGTATGGCTTGTGACATGAGGCTGCTGCTGCTGGTGGGCCATGGCGTGCTGTCTCAGGGCTACTCATGTCTTGGGTATGCTCAAGAGGCTGCAACATTCTCTTCTCTGTTGCTGACGTCAGCTAAACTTTTCCTATTCTGCTGTGCTGTCTCTCTTGGCTGTCCTTTTCCCTCCGGCGTCCCTTTTTCCCCTCCCTCCGTCCTCTTCCCCCTCTTGATCCCTGCACGTCGCCCGTCCCTGGGAGTGATCGAGGAGGCGAAGGCGACGATAGAGGACGCGATAGCCGCGACGGACATAGCCAGGGAGCAGGCGAGGTCGGCCGAGGCGGCACTGCAGAAGCGCCTGGACGTGCTGGACCGCCCGAGGTCACGCTCATGTTCTCGCCTTCCCCTCTCGCTTGCTGTCTTCCTTCTTCCTCATCTCCTCTTCTCCCTCCCTTCCTCTCCTTCTGCCCGTCTCTCTCCCTCCTCGTGTCTCCCTCCTCCCGCCATCCCCCGCCCTTGCCAGTGATCGAGGAGGCGAAGGCGACCATAGAGGACGCGATAGCCGCGGCGGACATAGCCAAGGAGCAGGCGAGGTCGGCCGAGGCGGCGCTGCAGGAGCGCCTGGATGTGCTGGATCGCCTGGGGCGCGCCGAAGTGGCGCTCATGCGCTCTGAGGAGCAGCGCACGGCGCTGCAGCTGAAGCTGGAGCAGGCTGAGAGCGAGAAGGAGAACCTCAGGATGGAGATTAAGGTGAGAGCGAGAGTTACAGATGGGTAGTTTGCATCGGGGAAGTGGAGGGAGAATAAAGGGGCACTGGCGAGGGCTGCGCTGCAGCTGTGCTGGAGCAAGCAGAGAGCGAGAAGGAGAAGCTGAGGATGGAGATCAAGCTGAGAGCTGAAAAGGGCTGAGGTTTGGGGGTTTAGGTGGGCTAGGGGCGTGTCGGGTTTCAAGAAGAGAGTCTAAGCGGGGCTGTGGCAGCAATGTGGTTTTTTATCACCTCGAATGCGCACCCATTCCCCTTCTCGACCTTCCCCATCCGCTGACCAGGCTACCATAGCATGGGCTGAGCTGAGGCGTCTGAGTCGTGCGTAGTGTCTGATGCTAGCAGCAGTGGCGGAGATAGACGCACACACTCTTACCCTCCTCATCCTTCCCCTCCCTCCCTTCACTCTCCTCAGGCTGCCATAGCGCGCGCCGAGGCGGCTGAGTCGCGCATAGTGTCGACGCAGGCAGCGGTGGCGGAGATACAGGCACTGGCAGAGAGGACGGCCAAGGAGAGGGAGGAGGGCACTGAGAGGGCGCTGGAGGCCATGCAGGTGAGTTGACATGTGGGAGAGTGTGTGTGACATGTGCAGGCGAATGTATGACGTGCCATCCCGGTCAGTGTGTGCTCTATTCTGCCAGAAATCGTTGTTCTCACCCCTCTGTTCCCTGTAGCACTTTCCCCCTTCTTGCACTCTCTCACGCACACGCCAAACATCCAGCACCCAGCCTTGCCTCCCCCCTCCTCCCCTCCTCCAGAGGAGAGAGGAGAGACGAGCCCCTTGCTGTGCCGACTCATCATATGTGCTCCCTTCCCCCCCTCCTCACCGTCTGTCACCCCCCCTACCCCTCACTCCCCCCTTTCCCCCTTCCCCAGCTGGCCTCAGAAGGCAGGGAGAAGGCAGCCGCGCTGGCATACAAGGCGGAGACGGAGAGTCTGCGGGCGGCGGCCATGGCGGCGCAGAAGGCTGACAAGGTCAAGGACCAGGCTGTGGCCCGGCGCTTCGCCGCGCTGCAGAGGAGCCTGGCTGCTGCGGAGGAGAGCACGAGGAAGTGGAGGGAGCGGTGCCTGGCAGTGGAGGAGCTGTTTGCGCTGGTGAGTTGTGCCTCGCCTACACCCTTCTCCCTTGGTGTGTTGTTCTTTGTTTGAGGCGGCACAAGCAGAGGAGGCTGACAGCGGAGGGGGAGAGCACAAGGAAGTGGAGGGAGCGGGGCCTGGCTGTTGAGGAGCTCTTTCCGCTGGTGAGTTTCTCGTCGTTGTTTTGTTGAGCCCTCATTTGGCGTGCCTTGGGGTGTGGCTGTGATTCTGGAAAACGCCTCATTTCCTCACTCCCATTTGCAAGCCAAGTCACGAGAGCTCGATGCGGTCATGGGCTTTCCGCTGCTGCTGCTGCTGCCGCCCCTGCACGCAAACTGGCTGCTGCTGCTTGCGAAGTGGGCAAGTCTGTGGGCCACAGACATATGGACAGGACGCTGGGGACGCAGTTGGAGAAGTGGCTCAGCTTGGCTGACGGACCCCAGAGGGAGCAGCCCGAGTGGCTCAACGCATCTTAACTCAGCACCTCCCCGCCTCCCCACTTCCTCCTTGCGCCACCAACCCTCCTTCCTCCCGCTTTCCCTGCGCCCCCTCTCAGGCTAAATCACGTGGGCTGGACGCTGTCAAGGACGCCTCCCCTGCTGCTGCCCCAGTGCTGACACCTGTGGAGACTGCTGCTCCTGCTGCTGCTGGTGCTGAAGTGGGCGAGGCGGTGGGCCGTGGGCGCATGGACGTGATGCTGGGGACGCAGTCGGAAAAGTGGCGCATTCTGGCCGACGGGCCCAGGAGGGAGCGCCCCGACTGGCTGCAGCGCAAGACGCTCACGACCACCCCGCTGCCATCCATGCCGATCTCTGTGGAGCTCGACAACGTGCAGGCTGCTGTGCCGCTGCAGCTGCCCACTCCGGACGATGTCTGGTCCATCTCCCTGCATAAGGTGAGAAATGCGTTCAACCCCAAAACTTGAGTCAAGAGCACCACACTGCCCTCCTTGCCCATCTCTGTGGGGCTCGACAACGTGCAGGCTCCCGGCCACTGCAGCTACCCACTCTCGATGATCTGGTCCATCTCCCTGCACAAGGTGAGCTGCGTTTTACCCCACAAGGTGAGCTGTGCTGACACCTAATCTTCGAGTCCACACAAAAGGCACCAAGTGGCTGTGCTGCTGCAGCTGCCCACTTCCGATGACGTCTGGTCCATCTCCCTGCACGAGGTGAGATGTGCTGGAGTGGATTCGCCTCTAAGTATCTATTTTTCCCAGTTTGATCGAATCCATCGGAACCCCACATGTCGTCCCATTCAGCACATCTCTACCTGCCAATATATCTATCTTAGCGCACTGAATACCTGTCACCCCTATGCAACGGCAGGTTGCCGACGACAAGCTAACCAAGGAGGCGCGCGAGGCTGAGGCGAAGGAGGTTGAGGAGAAGAGGAAGGAGATGCAGGGGGTCACGTGCTGGTCAGTAACCTACCATCGATACCTTTCCATTCGCCCTCTCCCTCTCTCTCTCTCCCTCTGAACAATTAACAGGTGGCGGACGACAAGTTCACGAAGGAGGCGGAGGCGCGCGAGGCCGAGGCGAAGGAGATTGAGGAGAAGAGGAAGGAGCTGGAGCGCGCCCTGCAGCGCAAGGCACCCAAACGGATCCGATCACCCGAGGAGCTGGAGGAGAGCAAAGGTAAAAACAGGGGGGAGTAAAGGGCAAGTGGGGGGGGGGATAAAGGTGGGGGGGTGGAGGGGGGAAGAAGAAGGCATCACAAGGGCAGGTATAGGAGGGAAGGTTGGGCAGGTATAGGAGGGACGGTTGGGCAGGTAGAGGAGGGACGGTTGGGCAGGTATAGGAGGGACGGTTGGGCAGGTATAGGAGGGACGGTTGGGTAGGTAGAGGAGGGACGGTTGGGTAGGTATAGGAGGGACGGTTGGGCAGGTATAGGAGGGACGGTTGGGCAGGTATAGGAGGGACGGTTGGGCAGGTACAGGAGGGACGGTTGGGCAGGTAGAGGAGGGACGGTTGGGTAGGTAGAGGAGGGACGGTTGGGTAGGTATAGGAGGGACGGTTGGGCAGGTAGAGGAGGGACGGTTGGGTAGGTAGAGGAGGGACGGTTGGGTAGGTATAGGAGGGACGGTTGGGCAGGTATAGGAGGGACGGTTGGGCAGGTAGAGGAGGGACGGTTGGGCAGGTATAGGAGGGACGGTTGGGCAGGTATAGGAGGGACGGTTGGGCAGGTATAGGAGGGACGGTTGGGTAGGTAGAGGAGGGACGGTTGGGTAGGTATAGGAGGGACGGTTGGGCAGGTATAGGAGGGACGGTTGGGCAGGTCTAGGAGGGACGGTTGGGCAGGTAGAGGAGGGACGGTTGGGCAGGTAGAGGAGGGACGGTTGGGTAGGTATAGGAGGGACGGTTGGGTAGGTAGAGGAGGGACGGTTGGGTAGGTATAGGAGGGACGGTTGGGCAGGTATAGGAGGGACGGTTGGGCAGGTATAGGAGGGACGGTTGGGCAGGTACAGGAGGGACGGTTGGGCAGGTAGAGGAGGGACGGTTGGGTAGGTAGAGGAGGGACGGTTGGGTAGGTATAGGAGGGACGGTTGGGCAGGTAGAGGAGGGACGGTTGGGTAGGTAGAGGAGGGACGGTTGGGTAGGTATAGGAGGGACGGTTGGGCAGGTATAGGAGGGACGGTTGGGCAGGTAGAGGAGGGACGGTTGGGCAGGTATAGGAGGGACGGTTGGGCAGGTATAGGAGGGACGGTTGGGCAGGTATAGGAGGGACGGTTGGGTAGGTAGAGGAGGGACGGTTGGGTAGGTATAGGAGGGACGGTTGGGCAGGTATAGGAGGGACGGTTGGGCAGGTATAGGAGGGACGGTTGGGCAGGTAGAGGAGGGACGGTTGGGCAGGTAGAGGAGGGACGGTTGGGTAGGTATAGGAGGGACGGTTGGGTAGGTATAGGAGGGACGGTTGGGCAGGTATAGGAGGGACGGTTGGGCAGGTATAGGAGGGACGGTTGGGTAGGTATAGGAGGGACGGTTGGGCAGGTACAGGAGGGACGGTTGGGTAGGTATAGGAGGGACGGTTGGGCAGGTATAGGAGGGACGGTTGGGCAGGTATAGGAGGGACGGTTGGGCAGGTATAGGAGGGACGGTTGGGTAGGTAGAGGAGGGACGGTTGGGTAGGTATAGGAGGGACGGTTGGGCAGGTATAGGAGGGACGGTTGGGTAGGTTTAGGAGGGACGGTTGGGCAGGTAGAGGAGGGACGGTTGGGCAGGTATAGGAGGGACGGTTGGGCAGGTAGAGGAGGGACGGTTGGGCAGGTATAGGAGGGACGGTTGGGTAGGTAGAGGAGGGACGGTTGGGTAGGTATAGGAGGGACGGTTGGGTAGGTATAGGAGGGACGGTTGGGCAGGTATAGGAGGGACGGTTGGGCAGGTATAGGAGGGACGGTTGGGTAGGTATAGGAGGGACGGTTGGGCAGGTATAGGAGGGACGGTTGGGCAGGTTTAGGAGGGACGGTTGGGCAGGTATAGGATGGACGGTTGGGCAGGTATAGGAGGGACGGTTGGGTATGGGGCGCTGCAGCGCAAGGCGCCCAAACGGATCCGATCACCCGAGGAGCTGGAGGAGAGCAACGGTGAGGGGGGGCAGGTGGGGCAGAGGGATGTAAGGGCAGGGGTAGACGGGTGAGCAGCTTAAGGGCAGGGTTAGGGGGAGGGGGAGGGCTGCATAAGGACTGGAGCGAGGGCATGGTAGGGGGCTGGTATCACTATATGGTATCACAATACACTCCAGCGGAACAATCACCTCCATCCATGGTCACTGAGAGCCACCGTTGATTTCCTTGCCTCAATGGCGTCCATCCACAATCTATCCTTCTCTCCCACGTTTTTCTTAACCCCAATGTGTCTCTCCTATGATGTGCCCAACCCAACCCCTTGCAGAGTCCGGAACGGGAAGTGGTCGCGAGGTTGTGGTAAGTGGCAATCCTGGTCCCTTCTTTTTGCTTCTGTTGCTGGAGGTTGGGTGAAGGCTTTAGGAGAGGGGGGGAGTGGTTGTGAGATGCAAGGGAGGAAGGTTTAATGCAAGAGAGTTGGGACGAGAGGAAGTTTCCTCTGGTGAAACTAATGGCGTAAAAGTGCATTCACCTCCGATTCTCTCACCCCCTTCCCTGCCCCATCCACCTTCCTTGCTCCACCCCTCCACAATTCCCCTTCCACCCCATTCCCGTCCCCCCCGATGCCCCACATTCGTCATCCACCCTGTGGTTCAGGCCAACAAGCACGACTGGTATCTGATAGCTAGCCCGTATCCTCTCATTTCCCCCAACCCCTCCATGTCCCCCCCCCAAACCCCCTGACAAACCGACTGGTTCTAACCCACCCACCCCCGACGGCCCTCACCCTACTCCGCCTCTCAGATCCAGGCGTTCAACTGGGAGAGCAACAAGCGTGACTGGTACCTGGAGCTCGCCCCCAGGGCTGCTGACCTGGCTGCCTGCGGCATCACTGCTGTTTGGCTTCCTCCCCCCACTGAATCGGTGTCGCCTCAAGGTTCGTGTCAGTAGTGCTGTGCTGGTTGACTGGTCTTTCACGTATGGTACATGCTCTGCGGGAGGTAGTGCATGCTCAGTGCTCGCTCCCAGGGCTGCCTGGGGCATCACGGCTGTCTGGCTGCACCCGCCCATTGACTTGGTGTCGCCCCAAGCCCAAGGTGTGTGCTGCTAGTGCTGGTTGGCTATGGTGCATGCTCTGTGGTGGGTGGTGCGTGCTCAGTGCACGCGCCCAGGGCTGCTGACGTGGCTGCATGTGACATCTCAGCTGTCTGGCTGGCCCATCCCTCAGCTGCCAGCTCACCAAGCCTGTGGTGTGCCCCCCCAAGGTGAACCAGTGATGGGAATCTCATAGTCAATTCATATTTGGCCTTCTCTCCCGCCCTCCTGTATCGCAAGGTACATGGCTGTTGATCTGTAGGAACCTCAACTCGTGCTACGGCAACAAGGAGCATCAATTTGCCCCCTCCTTCCCACCTCCCCTCCCCCTCTGCTCTCTCCCCTTGTAGGGTACATGCCCGTTGATCTGTACAACCTCAACTCGTGCTACGGCACCAAGGAGCAGCTGCAGTTCTGCATCGACGAGCTGCACAACCACGACCTGCTGGTGGGTGCACTGCGCTGGTGCTATGCCTTACACCTGCTGGTGGGTGCACTACACTGGTGCTATGCCTTACACACACCTGCTGGTGGGTGCACTGCACTTCTACGGCTTACACCTGCTGGTGCGCTTGCGCAGGTTGCCTGGTGCTATGCTGCAGCTTGTGTGCGATAGATGCGCTGCCAAGGTACCCTCAGGCCGCACCAGATAGCTGCAGTTTTGCATTGCACTGACGAGCTGCACAACCACCACCTGCTGGTGGGTTTGTTCATGTGGTGGACTGGTGCCATGCTGTGGCTTGTGTGAGACGGATGCAGTGCCAAACTAACGCCAGATAGCTTGCTTTGTCATCAGCTGCGGGGTCTATTTTTGACCCAGCAAAAGTCTCCACTAATGCATAAACAACAAACTAACATCAGATAGCTTGCTTCGCCATCAGCTGCTGGGGGATGTGGTGTCCGACTCAACCAACACGCTGTGCATCCTACCAGAGCCCCCCTCTCTTCCCTCCCTTTTCTCTCTTTCCAGTCTTCCTCACTGGTCTCTCCTCTATAACCCCTCCACTCCCTCTCAGGTGCTGGGGCTCTCTATAGAGATCTCTCCTCTATAGCCCCTCCACTCTCCCCCGGACGCTGGGCTCTTTATAGAGATCTCTCCTCTATAACCCCTCCACTCTCCCCCAGATGTTCGGGCTCTCTAGAGAAATCTCTCCTCTATGACCCCTCCACTCTCCCCCAGATGTTCGGGCTCTCTATAGAAATCTCTCCTCTATAACCCCTCCATTCTCCCCCAGGAGCTGGGGCTCTCTATCGAGATCTCTCCTCTGTGACCCCTCCACTCCTCCAGGTGCTGGGCGACGTGGTGCTAAACCTCTGTTGTGCGTCCAAGCGTCATCTCTCTCTTATCCCCTTCCCCCAACCACCCTGCTTCCCCGCCCTTTGCTGTTATCCATCACCCCCCAACACTCCCTAAGGTGCCGGGCGACGTTTGCTGAACCACCGCTGTGCGTCCAAGCAGAGCCCATTCCTCACTTCCCTTTCTTCCCCTTTCTCCCCTCACTCCTGCACTCCCCCCCCTATTACCCATTCCCCCCACACTCCCCCAGGTGCTGGGCGACGTGGTGCTGAACCACCGCTGTGCGTCCAAGCAGAGCCCTGAGGGCATTTGGAACATCTTTGGGGGCAAGCTGGCGTGGGGGCCGGACGCCATCGTCAGGGACGACCCCAACTTCCATGGCCGGGGCAACCCCAGCAGCGGTGAGCATAAGAGTCGGTTTCGTGGTGAGCATAAGAGTCGTATTCGTGGTGAGAATAAGAGTCGGTTTCGTGGTGAGCATAAGAGTCGGTTTAGTAGTGAGCATAAGAGTTGGTTCAGTGGCGAGAATGTGAGTGTATGCATTGAATGGCAAGCATGCCAAGCTGGCGTGGGGGCTCATCCCCCTGCCACCCCCCCTCCCGTCGCTCTCCAGGTGACATCTTCTGGGCGGCGCCCAACATCGACAACTCACAGGACTCTCTCTGCAACGACATCTTCAAGTGGCCGGCCCCTCCTCTCCCCCTCGCTGTCCCTTACCCCACTCTGCACTGCCTGTGCCCCCCTCTCCCTCTTCCTCCCCCCCTTCACCCCCCCTCCCGCCCTCCCCCAACATCCACCTCCAGGTGACATCTTCCACGCGGCGCCCAACATCGACCACTCGCAAGACTTCGTGCGCAAGGACATCTGCGAGTGGCTGCGCTGGCTGCGCTCCGACATTGGCTACGATGGCTGGCGCCTCGACTTCGCACGGTGAGAGCATTGTGACGGGGTCCATGCCCTTATGTTGTGGGGGAATGTGGAGGGGTGGGGGTAAGGACATCTTCGAGTGGCTACGCTGGCTGCGCTCTGACGTGGGCTACGATGATTGGTGCCTTGCCTTCACTTGGTGAGAGCATTGTGAAGGGGCCCAGGCCTTTATGTTTTGGGGGGGGAAGGGGAAGGGTGGGGGTATGGAGAGATGTTGGGTGGCTGCGCTGGCTGCGCTTCAACATGGGCTACTACGACGGCTGGCGACTGGACTTGGCGTGGTAAGCAGAGGGTGTGCTATGGGGTCTGTGGTGCGATGGCAAGGGGATGGTTTGTGGCCGTGCTGACCACGCTCCGACGTGGCAACGATTGCTTGTGGCTGCATTTATTCTGGTGTTGGGTTCACGGTAGACATGGGCATGAGCCGAGCCTGGCTCGGCTCGCCTCGAGCCGGGTTCCCAGGATCCCCGGCTCGGCTCGTCAGGGGGGCTTGTGCGGGCTTTCAACTAGGGCCATGGGGTTTGGGGTCTCTAGTCTGGGGCCTGGTCCAGATTGTTGAGCTGATCGTCTGCTTCTACATCTTACAAAACTCTGAGGAGGTGCTGTTGGTGTAAACAGGGCTGGCTGAGGGCGATGGACTAGGGCAACAGGGTGAGGGCAACAGGGTGAGGTTAGGGTTGGCAGACGAAATGGGCGCGGGAGGTTTGTCGATCTGAGATTTGACAATGGCGAAACCCCCCCTTTCCCGAGCCGCGAGCCGGCTGGCTCGAAATCGAGCCAGCTCGAGCCGGCTCGACTCCGACTCGCCTGATTTCACGTGCGCGAGCCGAGCCGAGCCGAGCCAGGTCTGGCTCGGCTTGTGCCCATGTCTAGTTCACGGTGTGAGGGCAATGCAAGGGAGTATGCTGGTTCTGGACTATTCTTGGCACTGACACTGGCTGGCACGTACGAACTTCACCCTCCCTTGCATCTTCCGTAGACTCGTATCGAAACCCACCTGTTAAACCCTGAACCCCATACCTTTTGCCCACCTGTTGCAGTGGGTTCTGGGGCGGGTATGTGAAGGAGTACATTGAGGCGTCCAGCCCCGCGTTCTGCATTGGCGAGTACTGGGACAGCCTCAGCTACGAGGGCGGCACCGTCTCCTACAACCAGAGTGAGTGCCCTAACCCCCAACCCTCATGGTGCAACTCCTTACCTTCAACACAAAGGCTCCTCCTCTGCAAGAATCACCAACCCCTGTTCATTCAGTGTCCTATTCTCCCGCTCCCTGCCCTTCAGATGCCCACATCAGCATGCACTGCTCCATTCCCCTTCCACTGCTCCATTCCCCTTCCCCTGCTCCATTCCCCTTCCCCTGCTCCATTCCCCTGCTCCTTTCCCCTGCTCGATTCCCCTGCTCCACTCCCCTGCTCCACTCCCCTTCTCCATTCCCCTGATCTATTCCCCTGATCTATTCCCCTGCCCTATTCCCCTGCCCAATCTCCTCATTCCCCCGCCTCCTCCCCCCCAAGACGCCCACCGGCAGCGCATCATCAACTGGATCAACGCCACTGGAGGCACCTCCTCTGCCTTTGACGTCACCACTAAGGTATGGCGGGATGTGATGGTGGTAATAAATGTGATGTCCTGTTATCCAGAAGGGGTTGTGAAGTGTGAATTTAACACCAAAAAACCGACGCAATCATACCCTCCCCTCTTCCCTCCCTCCCCCGATCCTCTCCCCCTTTTCCCGCCACGTCCATCCCTTACTCGGTCGATCCATCCATCTCTCCATGGACCCTCAACTCCCCCCTCCCACCCTCGTGTTGCCATCCTGCACACTGCTTCCTGCATGCAGCCTTGCACAGCGAGTACTGGCTCCTGATCGACCCGCAGGGCAAGCAAGCCTCTAAGCAAACACCCCCCCCCCCCCCCCCCCCCCCCCCCTCCCCTTAACCACCACCCACACAGGGCATTCTGCACGCGGCGCTGCACAACGAGTACTGGCGGCTGATCGACCCGCAGGGCAAGCCCCCTGGCGTCATGGGATGGTGGCCGTCACGAGCCGTCACCTTCCTGGAGAACCACGACACAGGCTCCACTCAGGTATGGCTTTAGATGCAAGCTGTGATATTATCTTTTAGTCGCTTCGTGCCGAATGCGCAGTGAAGATTCAGCAGAAACAGCCAGTTCCGTCTTTCTTTGTTGGTGCTTTCATTGCCTTCCGGTTTCTCCACCATTCCCCGATTCTTGCCTGCAGGGTCACTGGCCCTTCCCACGTGAGAAGCTCCTGCAGGGATATGCCTACATCCTCTCCCATCCGGGCACGGTAAGACATGCCTTCATTGGTAGGCTATCCATCGTCTTCGCTCCACCATGCATCTAACTCCCGCCCAGTCTCCATGATGCTACTACAATGTCTACAGTTGCTCATGCGTTCCAACCTTTCTCGCTTATCTGCTCCCCCCCTCCCCCCCCCCTCCTCCTCCCCCTTCACTCCTCCACCTCCCCCCCCTCCGTTTTCTCCTTGGCACCTGCAAACGACACAGCCTGTGGTATTCTACGATCACATGTACGAGTTTGGCATCCACGACCAGATCGCCGAGCTGATTGCCGCCCGGAAGCACGCGGGCGTGCACTGCAGATCTCCAGTGAAGATCTTCCACGCGGTGGCGCAGGGGTATGCGGCGCAGGTGGGGGACAACCTGGTGGTCAAGCTGGGGCACTTCGACTGGAACCCGTCCCGGCAGAATGACCTGATGGGGCGGTGGGAGAAGCTGGTGGATAAGGGTAATGATTACATCCTCTGGGAGAAAACGTCTTCATGAGCCCTGTCTTGGGAGCTTGTGTTGTGAGATGCTTCAGAACTTGACTGGAGAGGCTTGAAGGATGGTGTTTTGAAGGTGCAGGGTTGGGGATGGACAACTTTTCTCACAGGAAAATATCGACCATCTGTAGTCAGTGGCGGACATCTGCCACACGTTAACATAGAGCATGATTATTCTGGTGGCCACGCAAGGATTTGGGGATATGTTATGTCTATGCTACTTGAGTCACTTGGATACATTTTACGTTCATTGAACAATGGAGTTTCACTACATATCGATCACATTAGCAGCAGGTAGCAGAGAATGTGGACCGCTCCATATCGCGTTTAATAGATACACTTGATTGGGTAGCAGGCAGGGGTAGCCCAGCATAATCCGCCAATCCGTGCTCTCGAGAACGCCGAGCGACGATCGCGATTGGGTCGTCAAGTCCATGTGGTGTGGACAAAAGGCATGCTCTCCCCCACCACACACATGGCTGAACAAATCACTCCCTGCTGGCTGGCCTTCTTTCAGCATTTGCTTTTATTACGTGAGCATTTCGAGCAACCTCCCACTCACCGACCAGGGATTTCATCCGACACGTAAGGATGACATATCCAGGAACCACACTTGACTTACCTCGCTATATCCTGAAATCCGGCGAGTGGGATTGGAGTTTTGCTTGCTGTCGAGAACCACTGCTCGCTTGCGTGGTCGCTCTGCAAAGGTTTCCGAGTTCCGGCAACCAGGCTTATCCATGCCGTAAGAATTAACCATTCTTAGGCGAGTAATCGAAATACTATTGGTGTTCTAAGCATGGTTTTTCTTTGCGAAGCAGGTCAGGACACATGAAAGAGCCTCAGAATGGTCGAGATTCTTTACCGACAGAAAGCACCCCTCTGTTACCATCGAAGGCACAAGATATTCCGTGTCAAGGTTCCTCTGACCAGAATGGAGAGTCGGAAGGAATGTCTCATGGACATCCAGGAAGCACCTTGGGATCTGCCGTATTCAACCTATCCAATACCATAATCGGTGCTGGGATAATGGGACTTCCAGCCACTATAAAGGTCCTAGTCTAATTTTGTCGATTTTTGGATGAGGCAACACAACGAATTTCCGGCTAACTTAGTGAAACCTGTATGCGGCAGGTCCTGGGGATTCCTCTTGGCCTAACAGTGCTCGTCATAATGGGAGCAATGAACGAGTACTCTCTTCAGCGGCTTCTCAGAAGCACAGCAGCAGCTAAAGCATGGTCCTTCGGCGATCTCATGGCTGCTACGCATGGAAGAGTGGGAAGGATGTTGCTCCGAACGAGCATCTTTATCAACAACACGGGCATCCTCCTTATATACCTTGTCATCATAGGTCGGTCAATAAGAAAAACCCATCAGCTTCACGACGCATGGTTCACATGTTCAGTTTTAGAACTGCACGAGCATAATCTATGTCCTGATGACTTATGCATTTCCATTCTTGTTTAATGTCTTCCCGTCCTTTGTCAGGCGATGTGCTGTCCGGTTCAGACGGTGCGGATGGAGAGCACTACTCTGGGCTATTCGAGGAGTGGGCCGGAGGTCCCACCTGGTGGAACAGCCGCCTGACAGTGCTCGCTGCCTCCATTGTCGCTGTTATCGGGCCTCTTGCCGCTCTTCCAGACATAGGTTTGTTCAGTTTGACCCATCCAAGCGACATCTGGTTTGGTTTGTTCGGGCCTCTTTTGCCCCTTTTCTGTTCATGCATCTTATACAAATACCTGGATTGTTCTGCAGATTCCCTCTGGTTCACATCAGGGCTGTCAGTCCTGCTGGCAGTTGTTTTTGTCGTCGTCACAATCCTCATTACTCTGTACAAGCTAGTCGAAGGGACCATTGATTGGTCTGGAGTGCACTGGCTTCCTCAGCTGAAGACGTCACAGGAGTACTGGCACCTCCTCTCTGTCATCCCCACCATGGCAACAGCCTTCACTTGCCACTACAACAGTAAGAAAACGGCTGCGAGGCCATAATTCACTTTCTCTGTTACACATTTCCGATTGATTAATTTCAACAGCTCTTTCATGCCTGTGCAGTGCATCCTATTTTGGTGGAGCTAAAGCCACCTCGAGAAGAAAAAATGCACACTGCGATACAGAAGACTTTCGTTATTTGCACGAGTGTATATGCGGTCACAGCTCTCTTTGGTTACCTCCTTTTTGGTGAAGCGACTTATGCTGACGTTCTTGCAAATTTCGACACCGACCTTGGGATTCCTGGAAGCTGCTACTTGAATGACATTGTCCGGCTTTTCTATGCCCTGCACTTGATGCTGGTTTTTCCTGTGATTCACTTCTCACTTAGGTCTACTGTAGGATCGGTGCTGTTTCCGCATTCAGCCCCCCTAAAGCATGATCCTTGTGGGTATATATTCACAACGGTTTTGCTGCTTGGGGCCATTCTTGCAGCTTCGCTCTATGTCCCGGGAATTCAATCGGCCTTCGAGCTAGCAGGGTCAACAGGAGCAGCCATCATTGCCTTCTGCTTCCCTGGAATGGTAGCACTAAGGTAGGTCTTGGTTCACGCATGTCCATGCTGCTCATTGCACTCTGAAGTGCTCTCCATGCTGATGCAATGGTTCGCTTTGTCCTGCAGTGAGAGAGCTGGGGGTTTGGCGGCATCTGCTACTCAAAGGGCTGCTGCCTGGTTCTTGCTTCTCCTAGGACTTGGTGTGTGTTTTACAGGTCTTGCTGACAGTGTCCATTCATTTCTACGAAAATAGAAGACACACCATTACAGTAACGCCTCCTACCCTGTCCTCATACAAATGGCGATTTGCTGGTTTCCGACTCTTTTGTCAGGCATATTACACTTATTCCGCAAGTTGACGAGTCTGAGAGCAGGTCCACACTGAACCTCGCATCACCCAAGCCCTCTCCTGCAGGAGAAGCTGATGCAGTTGGATACGAGGCTGTGCTTGCCTGCAGATGACCAATTGCAGCAAGCAGGACCCCTGGTGGCTTGGCACTGGCCAGCAGCCAAACACCACGTGGTTTTAGCGATCTGTGCACTGACCTGGGGGATACCAGAAAGGAATGGGCCAGCAAGTAGAAGTGTTACTAATCAATGAGTTGAGGACGATGGCAGGATGTTGCAGTGGACCAAAGAAGCTGAAGCGCACAAACAGACATGCATCCAACTCAGATACAAACCTGGAGAGTGATGCCACACCGTCAAATCTCTCAGCTTCTGTCCAAAGCACAACCCGAGGAGACACGCCCGCACGTCTTTCTGCTGATGCCAGCTCTACAAGCCCAAATTGGAGAGGTTGCAGCTTCGAGTCCTGACAAGGAAAAAGGCAAGTGCAATGCAACGAACGAACTCCAAGCTTGACTTTATACGGGCCAAAGCAGGGAGTGGCTTTAGGGATTAGGGTGCTACAAGAAAGAAAGAAAAAACAGAGAAACTGGAGTGCATTTCGTTTCTGCCTCGTCTGATGCCCTTTCCATTTCATACCCAGCTCACCTTTGACGATGGCTGGCACAGCAGAGCATCCACTGTTCCCTTATCCACCATCACATCCACCACCCCTGTCAGCAACAGTGAGAAAACAAGGGGCCAATCAGATGTCGATGCACTTTTTTCAAAATGGCAGCCCCTGACCGGCAGCAAAGCCCTCACTCAAAAGAAGCATTCTATACCCCGGAATGGCAAGCACCGCGCATCAGCAACCAAGCGGTCAACTGGATGGGCGGCAAACCGAGGATGAGAGGCATGGAGTTGAGACATGGATGCCATCACCCCAGCGTCTACGTCCGTGCTGATGACGGCCAGTCCCCTCTCTGCCATGCGCATGCTCCACTCCGAATTGCCGCTGCCTATCTCCACCACCACCAGTGGTGCCACTGCTGCTGCCCCTGCCGCTGTCGCTGCGTTGGCAGCTCCAGATGCTGTCGCTTCTGCTGATGCTACCGCCGATACTGCTGCTGATACTGCTGATGCCGAAGCTGCCGAAGATGCCTCGGTCATTTGTACGTGACTTCCCTCCTGGCAAGATTTATCCAGCTCTCCTGATCCCCTCTCTTTCCTCTCCTCTATCGAACAGAGGGGAGCCATGTGCGAGCGCCAGAAGGAGTCAAAGTCAACGTTGTACCTGGTTGGTGCAAGAGGTTGACGAATTGGAGGTTGTGCTTGAAACGCGGATCGGAAAATGGACTTCAGGAAAGGTATGTACGGCTAGTCAGGGATAATATGCTTCACGACGCAAGGCACGGACGGTTTGGATGGGTAGGCCAGACAGTGGTCATGAAGGTACGACTTACCAGTCATAGAGGATGGTTTGCTCTCCCGCGTATCGCGTGCGCCAGTAGCGAGGTTGAGAGTACTCGGTGTTACGGGAAGGACTGCGAGGAGAAGGGGCGAGAGACGAGTTTTTAACTCAAGAGAGGGTTTTGCGGACGCATTAGGAGCGTCTGAAAAGAGACGTGGGGGAAGGGACAGAATGCCTGGTGAATGAAGAGAAAGAGCGAGAAGCCTTGTAACAAGGTACGTACATTCGACGGGTTATAACGTCCGATTCAGTGTCAAAAAGCCCTTCAAGCACCCCCCCATTGTCGTCGAGTGCAGATGTCTCTCCAAAGTCTCCCATTGCGTGCAGCCGCAACCTATGTCTGGGTGAATTCCCGCAACCATGCACCAACTACGAACTAAGGAATGATTGGCAGGGAGGGAGCCAGGGGCTATGTGTTGTTGCTCTGAGCGCCATGGCAGGAGTTTGTACTCGATATGGGGATAATTGGGCAAATCTCTACAATGATACAGGCTTATTTTGCTTCAACTGTACCCGTGAACCACTTCCATTTCGGGTCTTCGCTTGGCTTTCCCGAGGTTGCCGTGCGACGTGGCAGGTTTGTGTGGTCCCCATTCACACAACCCAAATCCATCACTTCCGAAGTTGAGCAATGCACTCTCCTCCCCCCTCGCACGCGACTGTCCAAACTTCTTGGACCCATTCGCAAACCATCTCAAACGGCTCGGCGATTGTCGTAAAACCTCCAGCATATCCAGTAACCATCTCGACAGCAGCGAGGCCTTCGTCAGTGCTGGTTATTGTCTCCCTCCAAGTACAATCAAACTGTAGCCTGTCGCCAGACTTCGCGAAGACGAACCCCTCTCGCCTCCAGTGCTGCTTTTCCCTCCATCTTCTCTCACTCTGTTCCCTTGTCTCTGATCTTTCAGCTCCCATACAGAATCCTGCCTTCACGGCTTCTTTTGCGGCTGGCCGGAGCTTGACCGTCCTCGGTCACTTCCTGGTGAATGATCACCATCCAGTATATTTTTCCACGTTAGTGGCTGGAGAAAGCTCGGCTAGGAGGCGGTTTCGGATCGCATTCCTTATTTGAATGTTCGGGTATCTTCGCTTCCAGTTCTGTAGGGTAGCTCATGCGTTGCGGGTCCTTGTGTGGTTGCAGAGCTGGTTCGAGAGCCCGTTTGTCATACGAGGGCTGAGTAAATCCTATAGATAACACGCCGTCGTTCTTCCCGCCTCTGTTCTCGATTTATCCGAATCTGACAGCTGAAAGCTTTGTCTGCTTGATCGGCACCGTCCTTATTCCTGCCCTCAGCGTCCTCATCCCGTTACTCGGCTGGTTCAACATTTGCGAAGCCGATTAACACCATGGTTGACGACAACGGAGTATCTTCGTACGGAGCGATGTCCAACGGAATCTCTTCCCCGGAAGGATCTCCAAGCTCAGACCGCGGAGCCTCATCGGATTCCGTTGTCAGATGGCCAATGGCAGAAGCCCGCGTGGCTGAGCTGATCGCGCGGATTCAACCCACAACCAGAGCAGAGGAAAGACGCCTGGCCGTTTCAGAATACGTCACGAGGCTTATCTCGCGGTGCTTCGATTGCCAGGTAGCTTATTACATACTCTAAGCTCCTTAGGGTTTTCGAAACCCGGTATTTTTCGGCTCTAACCCGGTATTTTTTCCCTTGTAGGTGTTTATGTTCGGATCAGTGCCGCTGAAGACGTACCTCCCCGACGGGGATATTGACTTAACCGCGTTCTCCCGGGGTCTGGCCGTGAACGACGCCTGGGTTCACGACGTTCAAGCGATCCTGAAACGCGAGGAGCGGAACGCAGACGCTCTTTTTCAAGTGAAAGAAGTTCAGTACATTCACGCCGAGGTATTTATTTACCCCCGCATTTCCAGCTGACGCACTTGCCGACTCCAATCCGCTTACACAGTTTTAGAACCGACACGAATGCTTTCTCCTTGCCTTCCCCCCCCTCCAAGAAGCCTGTTTTTCGTCCTCTTCTCGATTCCGCAGGTGAAGCTGATCAAGTGTCTGGTGCAGAACATCGTTGTTGACATCTCCTTCAACCAGCTCGGAGGCCTCTGCGCGCTTGGCTTCCTCGAAGAGGTGTAGAAACCGACCGTTCCCGCGCTGATGGATTTGTTTCGCTGGCAATCAAGTGTGATTGCCTGGCAGCCGTGATACATTTTCTTGGGACTGCTGCATATTTTCTTGTCTGATGTTGTGCCGGTTCAGGTGGATGCTTTGATCGGGCGGAATCACATCTTCAAGCGGAGCATCATTCTGGTGAAGGCGTGGTGCTACTACGAGAGCCGCATTCTAGGGGCGCACCACGGGCTCATCTCCACATATGGCCTGGAGACCCTTGTTCTGTACATCTTTCATGTGTTTCATAAGGAACTGCCCAGTCCCTTGCATGTGAGTGCCCTATGAGGCTATGCTGTGGATACCCTGTCTGTCTCCACTTTAGTCTTTCCCCGTTTCTGTTCTTTGTGTGGGTTTCCTCGATCTTTCTGCTCGCGTTGTGACATTCCCTTCCCTTCCCGTGTCGTTCTGCCTGTCTTTCATCTGCAACCAAGCCCCGTCACCTAACAGGAATGCCTCGTGCGAGCTGTTTGCTTTTGTGGCAGGTGCTTGTGAAGTTTCTCGAGGTGTTCAGCAAGTTTGACTGGGAACAGTTTTGCCTCAGCCTCAAAGGCCCCGTTCCTCTCTCCTCTCTTCCTACCATGCTTGGTGCGTTTCTCTCTCCTCTCTTCCTACCATGCTTGGTGCGTTTCTCTCTCCTCTCTTCCTACCATGCTTGGTGCGTTTCTCTCTCCTCTCTTCCTACCATGCTTGGTGCGTTTCTCTCTCCTCTCTTCCTACCATGCTTGGTGCGTTTCTCTCTCCTCTCTTCCTACCATGCTTGGTGCGTTTCTCTCTCCTCTCTTCCTACCATGCTTGGTGCGTTTCTCTCTCCTCTCTTCCTACCATGCTTGGTGCGTTTCTCTCTCCTCTCTTCCTACCATGCTTGGTGCGTTTCTCTCTCCTCTCTTCCCACCATGCTTGGTGCGTTTCTCTCTCCTCTCTTCCTACCATGCTTGGTGCGTTTCTCTCTCCTCTCTTCCTACCATGCTTGGTGCGTTTCTCTCTCCTCTCTTCCTACCATGCTTGGTGCGTTTCTCTCTCCTCTCTTCCTACCATGCTTGGTGCGTTTCTCTCTCCTCTCTTCCCACAATGCTTGGTGCGTTTCTCCTCTCCATTCTCCCTTCTCCCCTCCCCTGCTCATTTCTCGTCATCAACTGCAATTGCTGCACACTTTGCCTCGAAATCCGAAATCACTGCAGTAATCATACGTGTCGTTGTCCATTCCCATCCGTTAGTAATGGTCCCGAGGAGCCTTCTGCCGATTCTACCCATCTGTTTTTGTTTCTGTGCAGCTGAGAGGCCTGATGGAGTGGAGTAGGACGTGCTCCTCACAGACGAGTTTTGAGGCGACAAAAAATCAACGAAATAATAAAATTCAACAATTTCTATTTGTTCTTTCTTTGTGCAGCTGAGAGGCCT